TTCTTCGAAGGACCTGGGGGATTCGGGTCGGCTCGGGCCTGGCACCCCCGGGACTCTGGACTGCCCGCCCGTAGTTGGCGCTCGGCTCCCGGCCGCCCAGCCCGGCGGCTGTGAAGTCTGTTGTGAGTTGCTGTGACAACGGGAGCGGCTGTGAGGGGCTTGCAGACACCTCCCGGTCTCGGCGCGCCCGGCTCTGGGGAGAGAGGAGACCGGGGACAGGAAAATCCTGCGTCCTCCGGCCCCACCCCAGAAGGAGTGGGATGGAGGCTCAACTGTGTAAGAATATATCGTTAGATCCCGCTGTGAGCTGCGCAGTTTCCAACCCCAGCGGTATCAAACTCCTCAACCGAGGAGTCGTGTCAATATTTAGACTTGGACAAGCCAGAAAGTTAGAAGGGAGCGCCGAGCGCACGGGTCTGACTTGGCTTTGCGCGCCTGCACCTGAGTTGCGCCTTTGGAGCCACTGCACTTTTGCTGGGGTGAAGGGGGTCCTGAAGGTTGACAGCCACGAGGCACCCAGGTCTAGGAAACTCCATGCTCTTCAGAAAGCAGGTGCCGAACTGCAAAGTCAATACTGAGTTATTCGTGGTTCCCACTTCTGTGAAAGACCTCTCAGTATCAGCAAATAGTGGAAAGTCAACAGGCTGATAAATGTGTTTACAAGATGCCTGAGAGAAGCAGTGGTTGTTCGAAAATAAACAGAAGTTCTTTTCAGTACAAATAACATCTGCATACTGTTCTGCAGGTGGAGTGGGTGGTAAATTATTATATTAAACAAGGCTTTCTCCCATCCCTGGATTATATTTGGACATACTAATGGAAAAGACTTTAGCCAGAGGATCCGAGTATGAAAGACTGAGAAATCATTAGGAAACAGTAGAATCGTGCGCGGTGCCCTTCTGCACGTGCTCAGTGTTATTTTTCCAGTTTGAAAGTAGTGTGCATTTTAAGTACAGTGGAGATAGAAGCCCAGAACAGTTTGATGTCCTTTGCTTAACAGCACAACTTATTAGTTATACAAATACAACAAGAAAATTTAGAATTGTTTGGACTTTGAGATAGGACTGTACTATCTGAAAACGCTATTTTGGGTGATGCGCACTTTCATGGCTTTGGGTTAGAATAGGCCTGCGGCATTTTCCCTGTTCCCATCCATCAACTCAAAGCCAGATGCTTTTTAATATCATCCCCAAATGCTGACTTTCACAAGTGCTAGGAAATGTTAACCTAGCTATTTCAAGATGTATCTGAACCAAAGAAATGTCATTTTTACACTGGCACTTAGCAAAAGTAAAGCAGATTTTGCCCATTCTTGGGAGCAAGGCACCATGTTGAAAATTATTGTGACTTTTCCAGTGCTCCCGACAAACAGTACTTATAAAGTGTTTCTCTCTTCCACATTGCTAAGCCTAGCTGTGAGCCGAGTGCTCTCTTCTTCACTTCCAGCAAGACAGGTCAGTGTCTTTGTGCAAAGCAGTGACAACAGATGGCTCTCTTTCTGAGGATGCATTTCAGAACAACTGTGAAAGTTAGTGCTTAGAATTTTTGTTATTTTTATGCTCAATTAGGCTCATCACAAGTTCAGTAATAATTATTATTTTATTTACTCTGTGAGTAAAATGGTACCAAAAGGAACCTTCAGTCAGTTTATCCTAGAGCCTGGGGGATGGCTCAGTGGAATAAGTGCTTCCCTGGCAAGTGCAAGGGCCTGAGTTCAATCCCCAGTTCCGCAAAAAATAAATAAAATAAAATATTTTTTTAAAAATCAGTTTATCTTTTTAAGACTTCATTAATTCTGGGACTCAACATGGTACAAGACAGCTGTGGATTCTGGGACTCTGGGTCCACAGGAATTGAGGTTTTACCTTTATTTATTTGAATCTTAGCACTCTGGAGTTGGAAGAAATTTGATACAATGATAGCTGACATGCAGTAAGCATGAGCTAAGATTCAGGTAATGTGCTATTCAGTATTCTGTAAATTCATGTCTTCATTCTGCCTCAAAAAAAAAAAAAAAAAGAAAAGAAAAGTCTGTATGACGTGAAACCATGCTCTTGAACTCCAAACTGCAAGGGAGGGGCTGGAAGTTCAGAGAGTGTTTAATTCTGATGTCTAGTTAGTGGCACAAATAGCATTTTTTAAAAGTCTTCTCTTAGACATAAATTCCTCCTTGGAAATTCTGAATACATAATAGATGCATCCTAACCAAAGTCCTAAAAATTGCCCCTATCTTAAAGTAAAATATTTTCAGTTTACCTTGTAATAGTTATTAGGCCTTCTTAGGGATTTTTATATAGGGGTAATAAAAATGAAATAAGGAACAGGTTACTATAAAAACCATTAGATGCCATCTTTTAATGTACTGATTGCCTCAACTTAAGCTAATAAAAGCTTAATTAGCTAAGAAGTATTTTCAAGCATTTAAGGGTTGTCATTGGCTGTCCCATAAAAGCTCTTCCATCGTGGATCGTTAGTATGGATCACATTCTGTAAGAGCACTGTTGTTGCTGGGGCCACCCCCTGTAGGCCACACCCTTCCCATCAGGCTGCACATCATTAGCTGTGATCATGGCATGCCATAGAAATATCAATATACCAACTAGAAGCCTACAGTTTATTTGAAGCAATGAAATTATACTGTAAATTAGGTAACATTAGAGCCAAAAGAAATCTTGCAATAGCATAGCATCACCACAGAAGGTCTGTAATAACAATCACATCATTGCAGTCAGTCACTTGTTTGCTTTTTGAACCTCAGAAGGCTTTGTTTAATGTGCGTGACTTAGCTCTTTAGAAATGGCTAACGATAGTTGAAATTTTGCTCTATTTGCTTGGTAAATTTACTTGTAGAAAGCTGTAATTTTTTAAACCTTTCTCTTGGCTTTTCCTTTAGAAAAGAAACAGTTCAATCTCTTTATACGAAGACCTCCCTTTGACTTCACATAATTGAGTGTGCACAATATGAGTCATTTGAATTTGGTCCTATGTTCACCTTCTCTTTTCCAGTAGGCTTCCCTCCAACCTCACATCACCAAAACTAGGAAAGGAAAAGGAAAAACAAATCACAAAAATGTGGAGGCAGGTAGTGAGGGAGTGCATAATCATGGGGAGCTGGTGAGGTGAGAGGCAGCCAGTTAGACAGGACGTTTACAGAGTGGTTAGCTGTTTGTCCTTTTCTGTTTATAAGCAAAGCTTCTGTCTCCTCTTCCTAGAACCTTCTGTTTTGTATGTGCACAGGACAGAAGTTGGGAAGTAAACCTACCGAAAGGGAAGGGTAGGCTTGACATCCGTTCTTTCCAGATGTCTGGGACTTTCCTGTCCTTGAATATTTACCCCAATTTCCACATGAAATACATGAGCTTGCCTCACATCGGGTTTTACTCGCTAGTAGGTGAGTTCCAAGTTTTACAAAGGAAGAGTTGCTGGTAGAGCTAGGAGAAAGCAATCACCTTTTTCTGTTTTGCAGCTGAGTTTACTTATTGCAGAGAGACAGGTTCGTAGCCGCTCCCAGTAGCTGTGAGGGTATGGTCTCAGGCTTTACTCCAAGACGGCTTGGGAGGGATCGGAGAATGGCCACTGTGTTTGGAGGAAAAGGGCTGTGGTGTCTCAACAACCTGGAAGATAAGTGAAGTTTTGCCTAGTACCCACGGTATCTGAATACCACAGAATGTCTCTATCGTCCATTTCTGGATTCGCCTTTGCATTGTTAGCCATCTGTGGCTCAAACCCCTAATGACCCTGCAGTAATAACAACCAACACTTCTTATTCTGCTCTGGGTGCCAGACACTTTGTGACATTACAACTAATATTCATTATCAGTTACAGTTGTACAGAAGCAAACAGAGCTCAGGTTAAGCTAAAGAGCTAATAGGGAACAGAGCTTGCATTTGCGCCCAAGTCAGTCTAAAAACTTGAATGTTCATTTCATTTGTGTGTGTGTGTGTGTGTGTTCGTGTGTTCTAAATAAACTCTCAGAAAAGCACACACGTTAAAACAGTTCATGTCAGATTACACCTGCAGATGACAAGGACAGAAATTCAATAATCTGTGGATATGTTTTTTGGAGATGTATACAGGGCAGTCTTGCCCTGGACAAATGTGTACAATCTTAAGATCATTTCTAATATATTTTGATGAAATTCAGCGTTAAAAAGTTGAGTGA